CACTCTGATCTATGAAAGTGGCCAAGAATTCTGCTTTTCAGAAATGACTTTGTGTTGCATATCATTAATATTTGTTGATTTCTGATGGATATTTGAGGATAATTTATATTTTTAAATTCTGAAACATAAAAGTAAAGCTATATGTATATGAATTAGATCCATTTAGTTTTTATCAACTGTAATGTTTTCTTATTTTTTCCTATAATTTAACACTGACAAGTATACTTCAGGCCCAGTATGATTATCATTTTGCCCACCTCTCCGTGTATTTTTAACAGCTTTAGTTTTTGTATGTCAATGATGCTATTTAGTTTACTAGCATTCACAGCAATTACATTTTCCTCCGTGCGTTTTAATTTTACTCAATGAAAGGCAATTCTTTACATTTTCTTTTACCATAAATTCTACTCTGTTTGATAGAGATATTGTTATCCCTATTCAATTTTTGCCCATGTTGTGTAAAATGTGTCTTTACAAATGACATATACTTCACAAGTTCCAGGAATTCCTTAGTGTTTCTGATCCACTAAAGACTACTTCTCTGTTTTCTAGTGCTACAATGAAGTTTTCCTTATTTTTCTATTTCTTCAGTCAATTATTAAAGCTGTGATCTTTACATTTATTTTTATTATATAGATCTTCATTTCTATAATTCTAAGCTTTAATATCTTAATTCTATTTTTTTCCCAATTTTCTTCCACCTATTACTGCCTCTACACCCTATAGTCTTATTTACTTGTTCTTATCATAACTAAGGATAATTTACAATTCTCTAACTCAGAAGAAAACCTAGATACTTTAAGTAATATAAGCAATGTATACCATGGAAGACAATGCACCATTTAATTATAAACAGATGATCCGTTAGCGATATTGCCAAGTGATAAAATTTAATATGAAAAGTAAAATAAAGTAGAAGTCAAATTTAAGCTGATATAACAGTAGAATACTTATTTATGGCTTGAAATTCTACTTCAATGCACAGAGAAGCAGCTTATCTCTTTTCACCTATTTAAAGGTCCACCCCTGAGTAATTTATTAAATAAAGCCAAAATAAATTAACAGAGTAAGATAAGGTGGTGTGGGAGTGACAGTCAATGATTCAAAAACTTATTGAGGCCTACTCAAAAAATTCTGTAGGCATGCAGGTCTCCCAAATTTTACTAACATAAAGGAACTAAAATGAGGTGTCATTTGGAGCATCAGAATGATATGGGTATTTAGCCAGTTCAAATAGGCTAAAAGAACAAGTTTGAAAGTGTAAGAGACTTAGAAAATTCATTGTGGAAATAAAAAACAGAAACTTCTTACAGTGTAGATGAGAAAGGATTAAGATAGTAACCAGTTCACAAATACATACTTCTTTCTCATATTTCTCTGTCAAACAATGTGTGTTAGAGCTCTGTAATTATTATTTTTTTATGCTTTTCTTTACTAAAAAGGAGATGAAAAAGTAAGCTATTTAAAGTGAAGATGTTTTAAGCATCTTTTTTTTTTAATTTTTCAATGGGAATAGGACTAATTTCTTAAAAATTTATTCTGCAATTAGTATGGAAAAAATAGGCATAAAATGTCTGGTAAATATGACATTGGAAAAAGGCATATTTAGCATAATAAGTAGGGAAAATAATTAGTTAAAATAAATGAATAATAAATGATAAATGAATAATTATAAAAATGAATGACAACAAATGATAAATACATAATAAATGAATAATAAATAAAATAAATGAGAAATTCCTTAACAGTATTGGAAGCAAAGTGGTGGAAACAGTCTGTATTAGCCAGGGCACTGAGAAAACATTTGATAGGAAACAATACCTCAGGGAATAAATGTGATGGTACAGCAGGTCCCATACTGATCAGATGTCTATAATTTCATCTAAATGTCAATAATGGAAAAAATGAGAGGGAAGGAAGGAGATAACAGAAAACACATGCGCCCGTCTGTCTTTCTGCACGTAACTCTATAGGGATTCTCTACTAGAATTACATAATAATGGAATCTGGCCTATGACATGTAGGACGAATTATCCATAATCATGGCATTTTCCATGCTGCAACTGTAGGCACCTTAGTCCAGAAACTAAATTCTTAGTTTTGTCATGGTTGTAAAACAGCAGGGAACACCGGAAATTTTCCCTCTCATATTTGGGATCTTGAGAACCTCTCCTCATTTTGCATAAAACCCCACTAGAGAAATCATTTCGTTTTCCTTTTTTTTTTTTTTTTTTAATTTACCAGGATTTTTCTCTCCAAAATCAACATTTGCCTACTTTTGGCTCTGTCATCAAGTAGGGTGACACAAAATACATGCTAACAAAGGTCTGATTATTTCATTTTTAATATTTTGCTTCCTTGTCTGACACAGTGACAGGATCACAGAATGTGAATTTTGAACAGATCTGAAAGGTTATTAAGTTAAACTCCACAGAGGTAAGTAATGTACCCATAAACGTGAATGAAGATGAGCGGCACTAACACAGTGCTGTGGGTGCGACTCCCGACCAGTGCACATTCCACGTCACCTAACTCACTTTCATTTACCACACACATAAAGTGACAAAAGGGCCTGATGCATAACTTCCTCCAGCCACTCCCGATTCCCAGTTATTATTCTAAAGAAACGCTGCTAAAAAAAAGTGAAAATGTGACTTGATGGGGCAAGCTGCCCCTCTGCCTTCCTCCCTATGACAACATACTAGCAAACAATGCATTCCATCTGGAATTTAATTTCACATTTTCAAAGGCTGAAGACAGCTTGTAGTAAATCTTTATACTAATAAAAAAGCATTTTAAGAAGCATAACATTTATAATATGGTTTTCCCCTTGACCTCCCTAGGAAATAAAATTGTATAACATTTACATGGTATCATATTGTAAGGCACCCTCAGCAGTTTTCTTTTATTTCCTATGTTAGAGATCTGATCAGTGAGAATCTTTTAAAAAGATCTCAGCTTCATTAGCTTCCACTTTTTTCTCCGAACTGAAGAGTTGACTCAACAGCCCAGCAGAAGGTTGGCATGCTGGCTTCTAAGAGGCTGTAATGCACACTTTGCTAGCGTCAGGAGCTGACCCTCAGTTTCGTAGCTTAGACACTAGATTAGCATACTGAAGACTGCTGGGTAAAGTCACAGTAACTAAGTTGACAAGACTGATTTTTAAAACAAGAATGGTATCAATGTTCAAAAAGAAACAGATCCATCCCAGAAACAGAAGTACAAGCACCTGCAGCTCCAGCCCACTATCTCAAGTCCAGTTCATACAATAAGAAACAACTGTCAGGGCAACCAGTATATTTGAGAGGACATGAATAACACATTCTCTTCCCATGAGCTAACCTACACTGGAAAAGAAAGTAATCAGTACAAGTTGGGTGGGTGGGACTGGAATCAGAACAAGGGAAATCAGAGTCACAGAATGTTTAATTGTACTAAGCTGATGTATCCCACTCACAATAAGGATGCAATCTAGGAAGAGGGACTGGGAATTGGTAGGATATTATTGCCTATAACCTGCTGCATCCACTGCACCAAAGCAAAGGCTCACCATATGGTCAGAATACTCAATGCATGCTGATACAACTCTCTACATCCATCTCCATGTTAGGGACAAATGTTACTTTACTTTTGCACAGAACTTGGACAGGCACTTTTGACGGCTGTCTTTTCTTTCTCTATTTTCATTACTGATACCTTCTGCTCCCTCTTTTGGACAAAAACTCTCATTTAATAAAATTATAGTCAAATCTTGCAACTGGAAAAGTTTTTAGAGTTTTAATGTTGTATTTATATATGTAAGTGTTGCTCCATTAGAGTTTTAATTCTAAATATAACCTTTAAAAAGGTAATATTTTCTTTATTTCCAGGTTCTTGGGAGAATGTTAACAGTTCAGGTCTTTTTCACTAAATCAACCAGAGATGACTGGCTTACAAAATCCTACTTAACCTTTATATAACTGCAGTACCAGGAAACAAATATGTCATTAATAGGAAACATCATTCAATTTTTCTGAGAATGCATTCTTCCATCATTCCTGAAGTAGAGATTTTCCTATAATCATATTAAGAGCATAAGCTCCTGAGGGCAGGGATTTCTGCTCTGTTCACTGACTTATCCCAATTGTCAAGAACAGTGGAGTGCTCAATAAATATGTATTAAATAAATAAATGAATATAACCTATAATCTAAACTACATTCTTAAAAAAAAGTCAACATCCAGGAAATAAGGCTTTAAAACAGGCCCCCAAACTACGGCCCACGGACCGCATGCGGCCCCCTGAGGCCATTTATCCGGCCCCCCACCGCACTTCAGGAAGGGGCATCTTTTTCATTGGTGGTCAGTGAGAGGAGCACAGTATGTGGCGGCCCTCCAACGATCTGAGGGACAGTGAACTGGCCTCCTGTGTAAAAAGTTTGGGGACGCCTGCTCTAAAATAATACACATTACCTACTTAATAGCTTTTACACAGTCCACTAAATTTCAATACATCATAATTCTTAAACAAAAAATTCTGCTGAAATAGGATAATAATTATAAAAATACAACATAGTTTGTAAGATGCTTAACAAATGTTTGTTGGTATTTATCAATATTTTAAGTCTTTTATAGTTCCTATTTTTATATATTTTTTCTTTTTTCTTTGAGGTGGAGTCTCGCTCTGTCACTCAGGATGGAACAGCTCAGTGCAACCTCCACTTCCCGGGTTCAAGCTATTCTCCTGCCTCAGCCTCCCAAGTAGTTGCAACTACAGGTACGTGCCACCACACCAAGCTAATATTTATATTTTTAGTAGAGATAAGGTTTCATCATATTGGTCAGGTTGGTCTTGAACTCCTGATCTCATGATCCACCCACCTCAGCCTCTCAAAGTGTTGGGATTACAGGCATGAGCCTTTTTAAAAACATTTTATTCTTTCTTTACATTTGAAAGAAAGTACAGCTGGAAATACGTTTTTAAAAATAAGTTTAGTGTATAGGTTAAAGAAAAGGCTTTACCTATAACTTTATTCTTCTTTCCATTTTTTATAGGTGTACAAAGTAAACTTCTAATGCACTGCTGGTTTACATTTCCTGTGTTTTCAGTCTAAACAAAAACAAAAAACAAAACAGCTAAAATGGGAAAGAGATTGATTTGTTCATTAGATGCCATATAAACTATATGACACATTTGAAAGCACTACATATTCAACTTTTATATTACTTAGAGAACACTGGAGAGCAGAAAATGTACAAATTATAATAAAGTTCACCTAAGTGCAATATAAAGCAATTTCTTTACTTATTAAACATATAGGATTTTTTCACTTCAAACTTTCCAAACAGCTTATACATAATAAGTAAAATGTAAAAATAAGTTAAAAAATAAATAAAATAAGTAAAAGTATAGTATCTACTACACTGGTGTAGTAAATGTCCCAAATAACTTAACAAGAGGGACAGAATCTAAACACTACCTAAAATGCTCCATGTTACAAACCTGTTCTTTAGTAATACCACTGTTTCTATTGCTATATTGCTAAAGTTCAAACAATGTCTCCTAGACATCAAAGAACAAAAGCAAGGCAGCTGCCTCAAAGTGTAATACTTTCCTGAAAAGGTGAGAGAAAATACTATAATTCAAATTTTTCTAGGTCTGAGAACCAGATATTTATAGCTTTGAGGTCAAGAAAAATAGACATCCTTTTTCCCAGAGCTACACACTATGATAAATTATCAATTGCATTTGTTCAAGCCACACAGAAACTAATTTCTACAAATAAGACAAAAACTCTAGCAATACTATCTAAGGAATGTCACTGACATTATGTAGGTAATAGCTAAATTACTTCAAAAACAGTATAGTCGCTTATTAATAGATGTTTAGAAAGGTAAAAAATTACAAAGAAAAACACCCAAGTGTAGCTCTCAATAGATGTTATGATCTATTTTATTTTCTTTCCTCAGATGAGGGAAAACACAGATCATTCCTAAACAGCCAATTTTGGAGCTAGTCTTTCAGTTCCAGAATAACTGTAAGTACAGATCTGATGGGAAAACTGCTTTCTAGCTTCAGTCTAAAATTGGGTTACTTACTGTCCAGGGAAATCGTTTATCCTTACTGACATCTGGGATATTAAGTGGTTCCATAGTATTTTTGACATACTGAGCATACATGTAATTGATTTTGTTTGCATCATGTTCCCTGTGGAAATAACAGATATGAGTTCCCTCTGTGCAGTCAAAAGAAAGCATGCGCAAACAGCTAAATAAATGATTAAGGAAGAAAAATACCAGTCTTAAATTATAAGACAAAATATATACTTATTTGGAAAATACAGCTTTAAATGTGTTTGATGATTTGCAACTTCGTCAGTTATATAATTTAAATGTTTTGAAAAAACAAAATTTCACAATTTTTCCACAAGTTTTATACATATAAATTGGCTTTATTCTCATTGCAAATGGGCATGATGATTTTTGGTGTCATTTAATGTAAATTCATATGTCCCTTCATGTCTTATTTTCTCATCAAATTATAGAATGCCAAAGGTCTAGTGCCTGTTTTACTTCATTATTTGTTTTGTCTATCCATCCCAATAAAACAGTATTGTACACATTTTAAGACCAGGAGAAAAATAAACAGCTTAGAAAAAAAAGTTAAAAGCTTTTCTCTCTAGTTAAGTCTATTTTCTTTCTCCTGTCTTTTTGTTGTGTCTTCCTTAACATATTTCCCTTTGTTCAGTTTCCTCTCCACCCCTTTCTTCTGCTTTGAGATGCTTTATAATATCTTTAAAATTAAAAATTTATCCTCCTCAAAAACTTTTTATGAACTTGCAATATTTTTACCAGTTATGTTCCAGTCTCTTGCTTAATAGATTGAACATGAAAGATTAATCTGATACCAGGGAATACAGTGTCAGTGCAAGGAATGGAAAACAGAAAAGAACATGTTTTTTCATCTGCAAACTCTGTATGTTCCCTTGTGGTGATGATGAATTCAACAAATAGGGTCAAGTTATGGAAATTTACTCCATCTATAAGGACATGGTTATTTTAATTGTAACAACACTAACTGAAGAAGTAGGAAAGCCTAACAATAGCAGACATTTCAAAATAAAATCCAGTTGGCCCTCTATACCCACAGGTCTACATCTTTGGATTCACCCAACTGCAGTATCAAAAATACGTCAAAGAAAAAAAAGTAACATAAATTTAAACAATAGTAAAACACAACAACGATTTAAATAGCATTTACATTATATTAGGTATTATAAATAACGTAGAGGGGATATACATAAGTTATAGGCAAATACTACATCATTTTATACAAGGGACTTTGGTGTCTGTAGATTTTGGTATTCACAGGGGTTCCTGGAACCAATTTCCCGAAGATACTGAGTGACAACAGCATACATCTCAGGAAAAAATGTTCACTTGTTCTGAGTTTTCAAAGTTCCAATGTTTTGCCTATCTTCTGTTCTTCCCACCCAACCTGCCCCAGCTGCTTCTTGGGACAGTGGTTTCACATGGCATCCTTGAGAGCTAGTGATTCCATGAAGATTCCTGAACCCTGTATCCTTGTTTCTGGCCAAGATATTTCAGCCTTCCATTTGTTGTACATTTTACTTGAAGTGTAATGTGGTCAATCCAAGTACTGACCACTTGTTAAGTATCATGTATACATGAAAAAGAATGAAAAGGAAATGACAGAATAGTAAAATAAGAGTAAATAAACTTTAAATGGAATATTTCTTGAGACTAGACTTAAGAGTCTAGGAAGGCATGCCATTTACCATACACGTCAGACCTAACACACCCCGAGATCCTAATTCATACATATTTTCTGGGTGACACTCAAGAAATGGTTATATAAGTGCAGGTTTTAGTTTTAATAAAACAATATTTAAAACTACAAACATTTTATAAATAGCAACAGCCTAGAGAGAAGAAAATAAGAAGTTATAGTCAAAAGGTGAGATAGGAGAATGAAGTACATTGGAGAAGTAAGTATCCCTGTAGAATCTCTTTTAAAATGATAATTATCATATAAATAACTATTATTATTCTTATCATCATTGTTATGTTAAGAGTAGGAGTAAAAAAAAATCCAAAATGGTTAAGCAATTTATCAGAGATTATAAATTTGGACTTACAGTAGTTAATGCTGAGAAGGAGAGGTACAAAAACTACTTATAAATCGACAAATACCTGATATCTTATTTAACTCCCTGAAATTTTTGGGTTTTCCTGAGGTTACTTTAAATGAAAAATGAGCATTAGATTTATTAAAGTTACATGATGCCATGTTTATTTCTTACTCTATAAGAAATGTTGATAAATTTTCAGTTCCTGCACTCAATAAATACAGATTGAATACCTTCTTCATCAGAGGCATCCCTTAGCAGTATATGGGAGACAAACTTATATAGGTTAGTAACTGTCATAGGAGCTTACAATCTAGTAGAAGACTGTAACAGAATGAATGTGTTTAAATTACATGGACTATTTGGGTAGAGTATAGTGCAGAGACTGCCAGTTGTTCTTCAATAATTTTCCTCCCTTCAGTTTGTCTGGACATATATGGCCACCCAGAATAAAGACCACATTTCTCAGTCACCCTACCAGCTTAGCATTTCCATCTGGCTAAGTTCTAGTCAACAAGATGCAAGAGAAAACGTTTGAGACGGCTTCTAGTAACCTTCCTAAGAAGCAGGTGATACAAGCTATTTGTCCCTTCTTTCCCTGACCCCCATCCTACTGTTTAAAACGTGGATATGATGGCTGGAGCTGCATCCTTATCCTGAAGGAAAGGGCCATACCCTAGGGACGAAAGGAAGAAAGCTCAAAGGTGCCTTGGCCCCCGAAGCCTTTGTGGAGCAGAGCTATAGCACAACCCTGAGCTGGCTACCTCTGGGTTTTTACAGGAGAGATTAATAATACTGTGTTCTTGTTTAAGCTATTTTTATTGTGGGTTTTCATGATCACCTAATCCTAAGTGATACAGTGTAACAATGCAAACACCACACACATGGAGAAGGTGGACAGGTAGCCACCTAAATGAAGTGGAATAGGGAAGAGGTGGCATTAGAGAAATGAATTCACAGTTGGCTGAGATTATTTAAAGGAGAGAAAGATATCAGGAATGAAAGGCAGAGTATTCCAGGCAGGGGGAAAAAAAACCAGTAAAAAACACATTGCTAATGTGGAAGAGTTCTATGTGTAATTGGGAAATACTAAATCATTACAGATTGTCAAGAATAAAATTATGATTTCAGGCTGAAAATATTGGGCTAGGACAAACAGTGAAAGATTTTGAAAGTGTAATATAAGGAATATGAATCGCATTTTTAAAATAATGGGAATATTATGGAGGCCTTTAGAATGTGCCTCAGAGCTCCAATTGCAGAAAGAGTCGCCAACCAGTGTCTCAAATTGCTGTGCTCTGGAAGTCATCACCATGTTTGCATTGAGGTCATGCCTACCAGGGCTGGCCCCAGACAAAAAGACTGAGCCCACTAGGGACACTAAGGTAAGCCTAATCCTGGGAGACCCAGTATTCTTCTCACAGTAAATTTCAGATAAAGGACTTTCCAAAAGCCTTGCCAATCCTTCCTTAAAATTGTTCAACTGTCTAAGATACTTCTGTACAACTTTACTTCTTTCTTTCTTCCTCTCCTTAACTCTGGGTCAGACTTTTGTGTTAGTCTGATGGCTTTCCTGGCTCCTTCCCTCTCGTTCTCACAGGGGTTCCTCTAATAAATTTCTGCACATTTAATCTCATCTTGGCATCTGTTTGTTGAAGACCTGGACTAACTCAAACATCTGAGGTTCTTTGTACAATGTGTATCAATGGAATTGTATATAAATGCATTGCTAGGAACACAGAATTAAGTACATAGAGTTTGGAAAAATAAGTTTCTGTGCTTTAGAATTAAATGGGAGTCACTGCAGGCTAATATAAACCAAAGACAAAAAAAGTACATCAAAGGGCCAGAGAATAATAGCTAACACTTACTGAGTACTTACGACATGCCAGAAATTTTCTGAAGCATTTTAATATACATTATCTCATTTAATTCTTTCTGCAAGCCTACTATCATTATAGATGAAGAAACTGAGGCTTTGAGAGATTAAATAATTTGCATAAACTCCCACAACTATTAAACCCAGTAAGTGGTAGAACTTAAATATTTATATTTAAATACAATGAGGTTGACTTCTACATTCTGATACTCTATATCCACAATTTTTTAAAGCAGTAGTCTTTACTTACTTAATTATACTTATATTTTCTAATATCATAATCAATAACAAGTATAAACTAATAGATATATTCCAAGAAAATGGCCTTAAAGAATTAATTCTATGTAGTTGTTATTTTATGACACAAATGTGCATTTGTGAATGAACATAAAGTTAATTAGTATGGAATTATAGCACCAAAATATGTTTCTCAAAATGAAAAGCTAACATAAATTGTACAACATTATAATCATTTTTTCCATCCAATCATTCTAATTGGATGGCTCTTAAATTGAAGTGCAAAAACCCTAAAAATACCCACCATCTGGAAATGAGCCTCCCTTCGGAAATTCCTGGGCAACTCAACTCCCAAGAGCTTATTATGATTTATCTCACTTATTATATGATTCCAATAATTACGTGTAATGTTCACCCTGAATGTTTTGTTTTACTTTTAACATTTCAAAATCATCTTCAGTATATCATTTTAATTTATGAGGTAATTAGTGGATTGGTTAGAAAAATCCCAAATGAGTTATGCTTTTTAATTGATAACTATCTAAAAAGAATGATTTGCTTACTGCTAACAACAAATTGCCTAGTGTTTCATCAAATTGAGAGATGGCAAGGTTTGGATTGGCATAGTTTTTAATAATGAGAATTGGAGTCCTAAATCCTTCTAACAATCAGTATTAGAAACGTAATAAAGAATCTGCTGGTGAAAAATAAGTATCAATATTAGTTTAGCCCTTTTTCAAAATGTTAACATTACTAAACACCATTTAAATTCAGTTTTATTGCAAAATTAGGCCTGTTATTTAATTTCTATTAAAATAAAAAATACATGTCTCAGAGGCCTTTTACTATATCACTATAATAAGAGCTAACTTTAAATGTTTAGTCAACATAAGCTATTACTGTTGAAATGATTGTAAAGTCAGTTAATAAATCAGTTAAAATGATTCATGTAAATCAGTCTCTTTTAAGGTAATCCCACTGACCTGTTTATCCTTTATAAAAACATCTTTATACTAAGACTGTATCTTTGAATCATTAAATCAATAAGTGGAAAGATCCTTTCCATTTTGCCTACAGAGAGGGAATCATTAAATCAATAAGTGGAAAGATACTTTCCATTTTGCCTACAGAGAAGGAATGTGGAATTTAAAAACAAATATATATAGCAAGACTTTTCTTGTGTTTTTCAAATGCATATTTACCAGTAGAGGTCACTATCACACCAATTCACTGGATTTGTCCAGCTACTGCTAAAAGAAATTAGAGGGCCTGGATGATTTGTAAGAAAAAAATCAAAATGCCAAAACCTAAAATATAATTACACAGAGATATGCCGCTGCACAAATATTAAAAGATAATGTAAATAATTCATCATTTGGACTTTTAATATGATTATCATGCTGATTTCCCTATTGTCCAATGGAGATAAGGTAAGTATATAAACATAGATGCATATATTTCTGTTTATATACAGTAACTCATTATTCATGCAATCCAAAAAGTAAAATATTCAAATATTTACGTGTGTCCTGCCTAGAAACTTTCTAAAATACTCTTTTCAAAAAGGAAAAATGATAGTACAGCAAATCAAAATAATATATAGTAATGTACACATTATCACACATTCCAAAAGGATTCAATACTAACTAAAACAATGGCAAATCTGCTAGAAAATGCAATGGCACTGGAACTTAGGAAGGAATAAGTGCGGAGATGGGATATAATCTTCAACACATGATCAGCAAAGCCAAGAGGGAAATAAAGATCAGCTATTCGATAATGATCATTTGAACCCCAAATTCCAGGACATCAGAAAACTCTTGGGTAGAGAAACCATGGTTTATCTCCCTTGACTACCAACCTCATGCCCAAGTCAGCAGTCAAGGGTTAAAGTAAGGTGTACCTTCTGAGTCAAATGAATTCCCCATCTGCCTCCAAGTTGTATTCCTGCCCTTTGCTAATTCCTAAAATCTTTTTAACAGGAGAAAAGGCCTTTACTTGCACCATATTGTGAAAATAATAATCTAGTAATAATGAGTTTTGATTTAAATATAAATACTTAACAAAGTAATAACTTTAAGTCACTATGGTCACTAGTCTCTCATCTTGATGGAGGAAGACTTAGGACCAGAAATATGAGAAAAGACAAGAGACAATAAATAATCTGTAGCTTATATATCTTAAGTCATACTGGTCATGCAATAACTATTTAGCCAACATTAGATACATGTGATAATGACAAGTAGAGAATAAATGCTTTTACCTTGTTAATGCATCAGATGATTTTTCTAATTCCTCGCACTCCATGTGAAACACACTAGAAAAAGAATCCTGGAAATGGAGAGACAACACAGACTTAGAAATAAGTTTGACAAGGTAAAGAAAACTATCTAGATACAGACATACATGCCATGGAATTGACAAAAGACCCCAATACTTGTAATATATTTTTACTTACTCTTGGAAAAAATAGATCCAAGTACTCATTTCATGACATTCTCAAAACTACTTCCCATTTAATAAATAAAAGTTTTGTTCATATGATTTCTGATTTTCTCTTGCAAGAATGACTATATGAGTACTAGTTGTTTTTTTTTAACACTAGATGCTGATGGATTTATTAATGTCAAAATTTTTTATGCTTATTGAAAATCCTCTGGCTTTTAAGTATACAATGATAGTTGTTAAATCCCAGGTAAAGAATCCCTTCTTAAAAAGATGTCTCATTCAGTAATATTTCATGTGATTATTAAAATGATTGTGAAAATTTTAACAACACAGAGAAATACTTTTGAAATTACATTAAAGGCCAGGTGTGGTGGTTCACGCCTATAATCCCAACACTTTGGGATACCAGTGCAGGCGAATCACTTGAGGCCAGGAGTTTGAGACCAGCCTGGCCAACATGGTAAAACCCACACTATATGAAAAAATACAAAAATTAGCTGGGCATGGTGGCACACGGTTGTAATCCCAGCTACTAGGGAGGCTGAGGCACAAGAATTTCTTGAATCTGGGAGGTCCAGGTTGCAACGAGCCGAGATTGTGAGACTGTGCCACTGCACTCCAGGCTGAATGATACAGCGATATTCTGTTTCAAAAATAAGAAAGAAAAAAGAAATCGTAATCACATTAAAAATCAGAACAGCATATTGCATCCATGTTCTATTTATATAGAATTGGAAGAAAGTAGAAAAAAATTATAGTTTAATGTGGGGATGGAAGAAATCCATACATTCTTTTCCTTCTTACATTTTCATCTTTGTTCATGTTGTTAATGTATTTTTAAACAACAAATAAATGTAATACAATTGAATATCAAGTCACCTAATTCCTTTTCTAAATCCTACAACTTAAGTGGTCAAAAAGTGAGCAAAATATTTTAATAGGCATATTGTTGAGCTATGCTTCAAAGCAGCACTGATCCAAATCACTGTACTACCATAACAGGTGCTATCTGGTATAAGTATGAGTTGAATGCTAATTAGAGAGATGAAAGTTGTTTTAAAAAAGGAGTGCTTCATGTATAACTTTCAAAAATTAAATGCAAAAAGTGAGTCACAGAGCAAAAATTATGTATTAAGTGACATACTGCATTAAGGAATTCAGGACCTGAACTTTAAAATAATAGCTGCTATCTTGTAATCACTTCTGTATTAAGGTTTTTATAACTGATTGAAAAATATTAAATAGTATCTATGAAAATACCAATTATCTTTTAGCCCAGTGAGTTCTCATTTGATATTTTATTAATGAGAATTTTGTATTAATAAACGCATCTATCTGGCGTATATACACATCCCAAATGGTTGAGATATTGGGTCACACACTATAGTCTTTATATCTAAACCAACTAAAATTTCTTAATATAAATTAAGTATTGAATACCTTTTATTATTCTACATCCCCCCAAATATAACTTCAGTTATTATATATAGATTATAACTGACCTATACAAGTGGTAGTCCATACTCTCTTTCCTATTAATCCACAAATGAACAACATATTCTTAAAGACTAAAGGAAAAAGAAAACAAACATACAGCAAAAAGAAATATTCCAAAAACAGTGGTTCATAGCTTGAGAAGGGAGAGAAAGTGCATAAAGAAAAACTGCCTTAGGCCAGGGGCCCGATTCTACCGGCAAACTCGACAGCTGGCCTGTCTGTAACTAGCACTCTGTGACAGTACTCTATCTTTCCCCAGACACCTGAAATCTTTCTTCACATTATGAAATCAATGGACTGAAATCTACCAGTAAGAACAGTTTAGTGGTTTTCCATTGTTGGCAAAAATATGGGACTTACAGGGGTCATTAGTAAAACTCCTACTAGGCTATGCTTTTTGGGTTCCGTACAATTTCTGGTAAAAATAAATTTTTATGCCCAACCCATTCAGAATGGGGAGTCTGCTTGTTCATAGCAACTAGGGCACCAGTATTCCTGACCATGAAAAGTTAGCACACTGTAATGACAATATATTTCTCCATGAAGACAGTGTAGCCATTGATAGAAGCAGCACACAGACATTCCCATGGTAACTATTCACAGGGGGGTGAGATGGGGACATGAACAGTGGTAAACAAGGGTGATGAAGGCACCCTCCACTTTCTAACCCTACCTGTCTTCAATCAGAACAGCTCATACTCTGATTGGTTTTACATACATATCCATACACATTTGAGTTTGAAAGAGGATTCTAAGACCAAAATGACATTTAAAAGCAGTGCTTACAGAAATATAAGGTTTTGTCTTTCTAAAAATGAAAAAGTCATACTCTGTACTCACGGAGCAATCTTCATCCACTATGAAAATGGTGCATTTCTGCACTTGCATGAAAGAGATAATAGTGGCAGCTATTTTCTTTAGAATTACTTCTAATGACTGTTGTTCTTCAAAAATTAAACTAGCAAGGTCAAGCAGCACCTAGACAAAAAAATTAACAGCTTATTATTTGGCAATTTTTTGTTATTATTAAAGCACAATTATTTATTTGGGTTATAAATTGCTTATATAATCTAGCAGGTTATGACTCAGTCTACATTCAGTCATTAAATATGTCTCCACTTATTAACAAAACTCTCTATTGACTGTTAATATAATTAGAATAGTTGTTAAGATCACAGGCTCTGAAGTCAGAGTAATCAGTTCTTAGTCCTAACTTCCTTTCCTGCTAGCTTTGAGACTGAGGGCAAATTTCTTGAACATAGGGATATTAATAACACCAAAATCATAGGGCTGTTGGGAGGATTAAGTAAGATAATATTTATAAAGTATTTTGAACACTATCTGATACATAAAACATATTGTTAATGTTGTTCCAAACTTTTTAGATTAACATTAGTCAACATTATCAACATTTTTACAGAGCACAGCAAATATTACCCAAAGTAAACAAAGTTTTTAAAAATTTCCTTTGATATCTCTTCCTTCCAAACCTCATAGGTATTACCCAAAATGCCATGGAGGTGACACTATCTTAGCTGAGGTCTGAAAGATGAGTAGGAATCATTCAGGTGAAATAGGGAAGAGAAATATTTCAGGCAAAAGGCAGCAGATTGAGAGAAAGTAGCACACTGAAAATTTTGATCAGGTTTTACAAGGGAATAGACTAAAAAGAGAAGAACTGGGAGATGAAATTGCAGCATTAAGCAGTAAAAGAACCTGAACAGCACTGTATGTCTTTTGAAGCACTTTAGACTGTGATGCCCTACAGGAAGGAAGTGTTTTAATCACATCTGTTTGTAAAAATGAGGATTGGATGAAAGGATGGCAAGAACAGAGCAGGGAGAACACTGCAGTTAAAGTCAATGGAAGGTCCCATATCTTATTAACACTAATCCTAAACAGAGAAAATAGAGGGTAAAGAAGATGAATCATCAAATAAATAATGAAAAAAGAATTATACAGAAGTGAACAGTTTGCTTAAGCCACCAAAGAGATGAATCAACATACAGGTACCAGCATGATGAATGAAAAAAGAGTAATATTGTGAAATTAAGTTACAAAAGCAAATATAAATAATCTGAAAAGCTTATAGACACTTAGACAAAAATAGATATATATAATAGGAAAATACAAAGTATATATTACATTTCATGTTATATATTAATATATATTACAGATAATAAATATAAAATATCTACAAAAGAGCCCAGAATAAGGACAATATAAATGCTAGTTAGAAGACAAAGCACTACTTCTAAATTCTGAGAAACTGATTTTTCAATGTAGAATTTTATACCCAGCCAAAGTGGCAGGATGGTACAATACATATTTTCAAACATGCAAGGACTCAGAAAGTTTAATTCATCAATATCCTTTCTTAAGTAGTCAATTGAGAATGTGCTGCAACAAAATAAGGAAGTGAGAAAGATGTAGGGAATCCCCAAAATAGTGAAATCTTTCTAAGAAAGCAGTGAAGAGAAGTTCTATGATGACACTAGTGTAGCAGGCATAGGTCTGAATAGTTTAGCTTGGAAGAAGAAAGGTTGGAGAATCTCAGTTTGAACATCTACAAGCAGAAGCAGAAGGGAAACTCAACAGGATGCCTAATATAATGGAGTTTAGGGGGAAAAAAGAATCAAACAAGAATATGAGGCTATACTACAGCAAAGAGTTCAAGGGGAAAAAAATCAGAAACATCAGGAAAAATGCAAAGTTCTATAGCAAAGGTAATATGAACAATATTTACATAATCATAGTACTTTTAAATATTTTGTTTAAAATTGTAACTTTAGATTTAATCTAAACAAAGCCTGGGAAAAGTTCATCATGGTTGTAGAACAATATATATTACCAATGTGGGCAATTATAAAAGAAAAAGACCAAATGAGAAAAACAGGGCCAAGGAGTGGTAGTTGGAAAAGAGAGATAAAGAGAACAGGGATGCTAAGATACCCACCTTACAAAATATGAAATCAAGAATAATATCTACAATTGACAGAGCAAGAACTAAAACCATTACTTGACATCCCAAGTGCAACTCATACAGTGACTAAAAACAGTGATATAATGATACCGGTAGGATAAGGGTAATGGCAAGTAAGGTGTTGTGCAAGTCTATCAAATCCTCATCTCCCAAGTTAATGAACATTGGCTAACAAGATAAACAACTGAGCATGGAAAATAGGAAACATAAATGACTACTAGGAAAAATGGCTAAAGTATTGAGAAACTAAATCTGTACTATCTAAATTTTTAATCATCTGCATACATTATTTGGATAAAAGTGTAACAATTTTTAAGGAGTATTTCTATACTCTTTCTTTAGTAATCGAACTGACCTGATTTCTCTTGTTCTCCAGCAGCGAAGTCTCATAGAGCTGAGCATTATGAAGAACAATACCACAAAATGCCAAATAAGCAGCAAAGTCCTAAAAAACAGATAAGAGAAATAAAAGCTGTACATAAAACAGTCTAGTTATACTGCCTGAAACATAAAAGGCATCCCCAAATATTTACAGTTAGAAAGCCAAAAGAGTAGATGTTTGTTCTACATAAAATTAGGATGATATAAACCAAGTCTTAGCTAAAAGTGTTGGAGCAGTCGCCTAAGGTCATACATTAGGTATAAATCAATTAAGAGAAAAAGGAGAGGAACTAAGATAAAGACCTCTTTTTACATCTGAAGTTACAATTCATTCTATGCAAAATTTGGTTTCACCTCTCCATGATATTAAGACTTGTATCTATGCTGAAACTATTATATAAGTAGCTTGTAATTCATTAATGCAGCAAACAACAGCTCATGTACTTGTTTAAAGACTATTCACAATAAAAACATAAAGTTAAATATTATATAAAGTTGCAAACATTACTTTAAATCTGTCATTTTTAAATGGATCTATCATCCTCGTTATACTATACTAGGGTAATGTGTTTACAATTATATTAATTATTGATTTAAATAAATCTTTAGATAGCATACTTTATTCACAATGTGATACAGCCTTAAAAATTGCAAATCAATTTAGGAGGGAGTTATATGAATGGATTACAAACATAATAATGGAATATAAAGCCAATCCAAGAACCATGTTTTCACACCAAGTATTCTCAAGTGCCATGAACAGAATAGGAGCCTAGATGTCTGTTACTACTCTGATTTTAAAAAGTATTTACTATGTTCTGAAGCAATTAAAACAAGGGAACCAACACAGGTGCCAATCTAGCCTATAGCAGCAAGACAAAAAGAACTGTCTTGTTTGAATGTCTTCCAAATTCAAAAGCTCCTACTAATTTTCAGGGGAACAAAATAAACAGCAAGGGGCTTGGAATAGAAATAATTCAATAGGCTATGATATACACATAATTACATATTCAATAGGAGAAATAATGAAACCTACTCACAGAATGAAGTTATCAACAAGTTTAAGGGCTTTTGTCCTTAAACAGAAAGCATGCCAGTGTGGTGTGTGGAAGGTATTCCTTCAGAGTTGAATGAGAAGAGTAATAAAATAATGCCAGCTGTTGCTCTTTCTGAAGCTAAATTTACATCATACAGCCTGAATTCACACCTTGGCGCCCCACCGTCTGTGTGCAAGGCTTATAAAACACTCAGAAATTTGCTACACCAGAAGGCAATTCCAATTTTTAGCCAACCAGAAAGGCTGAACTTGGAGCAGTGTTTTTGTGGGTTTTTACTCAAGGTTGGATCTCTATAGCAGCGATGAAAGGTAAATGAGATAGTTAAAATACCATAAGTCACCCTCTGTGTGGCCCCAACATGCCCACTGGAGGCTTGGCAGCACAGCAAGGACAGAATTTGGGGGTTTCTGCTGACTGCATAACACAAGTACTCAGATGTGAAATCATCGCTGTATTTAACCTAAGATATACTTTTCAACATTTCGGATCATTTTTAACTATAATGATTTTTGTGACCAACAGTTTGGGCAACAGCTAATCCTAGAGGTGTATATACTATAAAGTGAAAGCATCTTCCTAAATTGGCTCATGCCTGACACAGGTTTTGGTACCTTTTCATCTTTTTCAGTAAATGTTCCACCATTTCCCGATTTCTTGTTGATGGCCTGGGCTACACCAACAACCTGGTATAAGGAAAGAAAAGTGACACATTTTTTATTAACTGAAATTACTGGTAAAAAATTCCCAAAATGTGTTTATAGAAGATATTTCACATGTGGTTTAAAATAACACTAGACTACAAAACAAAAGCAAAACCTCTCATAGACATTTGAACAAGCTCTACATCATTTACCACATTCTTGCTTCCTAATAAGAATTTGAATGTTTTTAATTTCTCAGTGCCCAAACTATGTTTGATCCTGTGATTTCACCCTGCATTTTGAATGAAATTATTTTAGCAATCATATATTAAACTATATATTTTCCATAGTTTTAAAATATAAACAACAAACTTTGATTATAGTTCAAATAAAGTATATAAGAAAATTAACATTTTATATGGGTTTTAAATATAGTATTTCAAAAGGGCTAAATGCTATTTTACTAAAAATGCAAAGGCCAGTGCAAAAGACCTAGTGGCCAATCATGGAAGGAATGCAGGAGGATCATTAGGGCAAAAATAATTCTTAATGTAGGAATGTAGTCCAACTTCTTTTGAAATTTCTGTGCTTGAAAATTATTTTACCTTCAACAGACATATTTTTGGGAAAGAGAGTACTGAAAAATCAGAACAGGAATTAACAGCTTGAGCCTTATTTCAAATAGATCGGAAGGCTTTTGAAAGTTACTTACCTTTCAGTTCCACCTTCATTTTAAGTTATTTACATTCGTCTTATAAAGACCTTCGACTTACTCTTCCCTCCTCTTTATTACTTATAAATTCTACTCTTTCCTTTCTTCTGCTCTTTAGTAGTTAGTGGAATAAGCTATTATCCTTTAACTGGCTATACTTGAGAAATATGCACCCTCAATTCTATGAAGATGGTTCACTTTGTCTTCTCAGCTCATTATAGTATCTTAGCTTTAAGAAAAATATATAAAATTCTTCTCTAGGATAGCAGAACAAGGAAGGGGAAAGACGTTCTTGTCTTACATAGTTTTCTAGTCTTCTTAACATTTTTCTCTTTTTTCTTTTGCCCTTATGGTAAAGAGTTATTATTATTTTTAAAGCAGAATTATGCAGCTATCCTATACCTTTTTATTTCCCTTAGGGCAACTCTCTCTTATTTTTACATACTCTTTAGCTCTTGAAAATAGCAGCAGATTTCTAGATGTTCAAACCCCAGTGGCTAAATTTCTAGTAAAATTTGTCTAAGGTCAAAAATGTCTGGATTGTAGTTAGGAATGTTCACTGGAACTATAAATAATAAGAGCCACTTGAAGGTCACTGGGGTCTAATATAGAGTAGTATACTTCGGTTATTTTAAATGCTCTGATGTTCATTCATCCACTCAACAAATACTATAGTGCCTCTTATGTACCAAAACGTAATAAACTGGGGAAGTGATTACTCTGAAGGAGCTCAGAATCAAGAACGAGTGATACATAAACATAGATTTATAGCATAGTAGGATGGTGGGATCAGTTTCATAAAACAGTGGCCATGGATTGCTAGGAGCACTGACAGAGCACTTAATGTGGGTAAAACAGAAGGCTTCTCTGAAATTATATTTAAATTTTTCTTTTTCTCTAATAAATAGTTTTACAAAGGAAAGACATAAACTTTAAATATGTGTTTTAAGAAAGATGAGTTTCAAACAGATGTAGAAAGTATTATGCAAAGTTTCTGATTAATATGCAGTATAAAAAGTATATATTGATATGCTATCTACACCTGGAACTGTATGAAGCAATGTACTCAGCAAGAAAACAAAGAGAAAACTCTTGTTCACACAAAAACATAAAATGACAAAAAATCAGCTGCTTATTAAATGATCCCTAATCAAACTATATTAACATTTTAGTCTATCATCATATCAACATAAATTTACAGAGATGATGATCCCTTTCAGTCTTTTTTTCTTCTTTTTGAGACAGGGTCTTGCTCTGTTGCCCAGGCTGGAATGCAGTGGCATAATCACAGCTCACCGCAGCCTTGATCTTCCAGGCTGAGGCTGTTCTCCCACCTCAGCTTCCAAGTAGCTGGGATTACAGGCATGTACGACCATGCCTGGTTAAATTTTTTAGAATTTTTGGTAGAGACGAGGGCTCACTATGCCCAGGATGGTCCCAAACTCCTGCACTCAAGCAATCCTTCTGCTATGGCCTCCCAAAGTGCTGGGATTACAAACACACAGTAAGATAGAAGAAATAAATTCAATGTTTTATAGCATAGTATGGTGACTATACTTAACAAAAGTATTGTATTATGCATAACGGACACCAGAAATACCCGAACTTGATCATTATGCATTATATACATGTAACAAAGTTTCACATATGCCCTGTAAATTTCTACTAATAAATAAATAAATAAAAATAGAGAAACAAACCAAGCAAGTTCTGTCAAAAGACTATTAGACCAGGAAAATATAGTTGGTCCTTTGTATTCAACTGTGATAGAAAATATTTGACAAAAAAAATTTTTTTAAACCCACAGCAATAAAAATAACATAAAATAAACACAGTAGGTCAATTATGTACAGAGCCTTCACATTATATTTGGTAGTATAAGTAATCTAGGTGTGTGCTTGGAGTAGGGGCCTGAAGAATGGCTCCTCTGTTCACAACACATGGAACAGACATCTGGGGTCACTGTGACAAGGGGCACAACATTTGTGACTCCCCAAGAACAAATGTCCCACATGTGTAACCAAAAAAAAAAAAATCCAGAGACGATTCACAGTGTATCAAAACCTGAGAGGATGTCACGGGTTTTATGCAAATACTATGCCATTTTATATAAGAGACTTGGGCATCCACAGATTTTGGTATGAGGGGAGGAAGTGGGTCCTGAAATCAATCCCTTTTTGTATACTGAGGGACAACTGGGTATCTAATATGTGTATGTGCCTCCATCCGCAGATAGATGACATTTTAAAAGTGACACTGATAAAAACAGATAAAAATAGAAGAAAAGGCAGTTTGTCCAGGGTCATATACACGATAAAAGACACAGAACAGTTTAATTCTCTGACTTTAAGGATCCTGAGCAAAACTAGCACACTCTGCCCTCTCATGTTCATATAAAGTCGGTCCTTCCTTCTGCAATCATTCATTGCTTCTTTAAACAAATTAGATCATTGTCTTTAAATCAAGTAACCGCTAACTATGGGGCTTTGAAATGTCTGTTTTCAATGACAGCTTTTACTGTAAGAATACAACAGACTTCACATGTGAGAGGCAGCATCCATAACAACATTATCTTCCTCATCAGAATGTCCACTCTCTTTTGCCTACCTGCTGGCTAACTGTACTACTCTCAGGTACAGGTACTCCATGCTATTTTTGCAAAATCACAGAAAAGTCTTTCTGTTTTCTATTTTACTGGCACTATGCACAACATAAACGGATGTTATGTCCTCACAGGGTTGAGTGTTCTTTTAGGAATGCAAAGGCCAAGACTTGACTCTCACTGGGTGAGCAGTGCGGAATGTGACAGCTGGTTGTTTCAGGGCAACTGATCATTGCCACAGTGAGCAACTTCTTCTTCAATAAGCAGCTGCCCCAGACATTGACTGAGGCCACACATCAATCCCCATACATTTCCCCATCCCCAGGTCAGGGAATGCTCAGCATAGAAACTAAAAGCAAAGGAGGAAAGGACAGATTACAAATCTATCCCACTCTCTCAGCCTCAGAATATCTCCATGGCAATGACAGCACTCTAGGCAGCCTAATCTCAGCCAAATACAAACTTTACTAGGAAAACTAAAACTTAAGGATATACAGAGGTGTTTGGGGGGAACTTTCCCTAATGTCCTTTTCAAACTTTTCTTTGACTCATTTATTCATTCTGCCATACTTTATTCAACAACTACTAAGTGCCTTTATGTACCAGTAGCGAACAAAACAGATGAAAATCCTTGTCCTCATGGAGCTGACATTCTAATCAGTGTTAGGCTTGGGAATCCCACCCCCAAAGCCTCCCCCACCCACCTGCTTTACAGATGAACAAACTGAGGGTGAGAGTTGACAAAAACCTATCCAGACTTTCTGATCTCTCTTTCAAATCCTAAGGAATCATCAAGTTATGGTAATATTCCATGTGGTAGGCAAAATAATGGCCCCCAAAATGTCCTCGTCCTAATCTCTGGAACCTATGAATATGTGACCTTTAAATGACAAACGGGGTTTTTCACATGCGATAAAATTGAAGATCTAGAGATACGGAGATTATCCTGAATCATCTGGGTGGGCCCAATGTAATCACATGGATTCTTGTAAGGAAGAGTGGCAGGCAGGAGAGGTAGAGTTAAGAAAACATTTGATGATGCTATGCTGCAGGTTTTGGAGATGGAGGAAGGGGCCATTAGTAAAGGGGTACAGGCAGTCTATGGAAGCTGGAAGGGGCAAGAGAACAGGTCCATCTCTAGAGAATCCACACAGAAACACAGCCCTGTAGATGCCCTGATTTTAGCCCACTGAGAACTAATTTAGATTCTAAAAGCTACAAATAATACAATGTTTGCTATTTAAAGTCACTAAATTTCTGGTAGTGATTTTTTTTACAGCAGCATTAAGAAACCAATACATTCCATTCAATTATAAGTCTTATATTCCTGCATTCTTTTTCCTCTTCTCCTCACCCTATATTATCTCTTCTGTTTTACTATGTAAATCCTCACTGTCTTTGAAGAACTTGACATCTCATTCCTAATCATCTTCTTGCCTTCACTCCATCTTTGACACTTTAGCCAAATTTATCTTTTGTGGGCACTGTTGTGCATACACAGATCACCTCATTTCTTAAAATTGTAATGGTTTCACCCATCTACAGAATAAAGTTAAAGACTCTACCTAACATTCCACACCCTCAATTAGATCATTTACATAGGTCTTTGAATTAGAATACTGCAATGTCCTTTGCTCGTGTCATTCCTTGAAATATCACCTTCCGTATTCTCTACTGAGGCTGAATCTCCAAAAACCTTTCCTTTTAAACCCTCTGATACTCTATGTG